CATTTGTGGTTATATCAGTTATTGGTCAGCATCGTAAAATCCTTGATTCTCTCTCTCTCTCTCTCTCTCTCTCTCTCTCTCTCTCTCTCTCTCTCTCTCTCTCTCTCTCTCTCTCTCTCTCTCTCTCACTTGCAATATGAAGGTGAAGGACCCCATCCACCGGATTTTTCTGTTGAACCGAATTTCCAGGTACTCGTAGGCGGACGTTACCTGTAGTAAAGAAAGAAATTTGATTTAACATTAATGTAAACGTATGAATACTTCCATAAGTGCACATATATCTGTATATCTATATTTATTTTTCTGTCCTTTCTGTTTATCTGTCTATCTACACACCAATCTATCTATTTATCTATATACATGCTTACGAAATAGAAAAAGATGGAAAGTAGGTTGCAGGTGATTTTCCTTGAAAAATATATCTGTCGATGTGTTATGACAACAGAAAACTGTTCTCTCTATCTCTTGGTTTGTCTGTCTATCTATTGGTCTGTCTGTCTATCGGTCTGTCTGCATGTATGTATGTCTGTCTGTATGTCTCGTTTTTCCCCTTTTCCCTTTCCCTTCTCTCTCTATTAACTTTCCTCTCCCTTTCCCTCCATCACCTTTATCCTCCTAATTCTCCTCCTCCTCGATAATTATCATTATCCCCCTCCCTCTTCTCATTCTTTCCCTCATCCCCTCCTTTCTTCAACTCCTTTCCCCCTTTCTTCCAACTCTCCTCTCCTCCACCCCTTTCCCCCGTCTTCCATCACCATCATTGTCCTAATTATCCTCCTCCTCCTCATCACCTCACCCCCCCCAACTCTCCTCTCCTCCACCCCTTTCCCCCGTCTTCCATCACCATCATTGTCCTAATTATCCTCCTCCTCCTCATCACCTCACCCCCCCCATTCTCATTCCTCTCCTCCTTTCCTCCACTTCTTTCTCCCTTCTCTTAACCCTCGCTTCCTCTCCTCTCCTCCCCCTCCTTTTCCTTTTCTCACCTGTAATTTATGAAATACCGGGAAGTACAGGTAGGCAGCAGAAGGCATGACCAGGATATACGACCAACCGATTAACCAGTACAAGAAGCCGTACTGGTAAACTTCCGCGGGCGTTCCCAGGAGGGTGATGGCGGACATGAAGCTGTTGGCGAGAGAGTGCATTTGTATCTGTGTTTATACCTAGATTTAGATTTAGATGTGTGTGTGTTAACAAGAATATAATCAGTAGATGAAGAGAGGGAGGGAGGGAGGGAGGGAGGGAGGGAGAGAGAGAGAGAGAGAGAGAGAGAGAGAGAGAGAGAGAGAGAGAGAGAGAGAGAGAGAGAGAGAGAGAAAGAGAGAGAGAGAGAGAGAGAGAGAGAGAGAGGAGGAAGAGAAATATAAATTCCTGTCTTTGATAGAGCACGTTAATTTTTTTTCCAGAATGACACTGTCTTCCTTCATACTATAAACATCCCCGTCAAATTCTGAATATGGCAATATTAGGGGCTTGACAATCAGGGACATCAAATATCAAATTTCAGTCGGATATATGGCAACACACTCCGCAGATACACAACAGCATAACCCTACAATCAGATCCCTACCAACCCAACTCACAATCAACTCCATGGCAACTCACCTCGCAATCAGGGACATGGCAACCGGGAAAGTCGTCATGGACTTGCCAGCCATGAGAAATTCCTTCGTGTCCTGTTTCTTCTTGCTACACAGGCCGTAGAAGATGCCGATGGCTGCCGACACAGCGAGCATGAGGCCGAACACGGTGTAGTCGACCCACGTGAAGTGCTCCGCCAGGTCTTGAGTATTGAGGCTCATTGTGCGGAAGAGCTGCTTGGCTGGTGGAGGAGGAGGTGGTGGAGGGCCGGGCTTGGTGGTGGAGGAGGAGGTGGTGGAGGGCCGGGCTTGGTGGTGGAAGAGGTGGTGGTGGAGGGCCGGGCTTGGTGGTGGAAGAGGTGGTGGTGGAGGGCCGGGCTTGGTGGTGGAAGAGGTGGTGGTGGAGGGCCGGGCTTGGTGGTGGAAGAGGTGGTGAGGAGAGAAGGTTGAGTGGAGGGAGACCAGGCTGGGAGGTGGAAGAGGTATTGGCTTAGTGGTGGAAGGGAGGTTTCGTGGTGGAAGACGGGTTGAGTAGCAGACGAAACGGCTCAGTAAATGAACGAGGAAAGGATGGCCTCGTGGAAGAAAAGTGGCTTTTTGCCGAGAGGGTAGAAGCTCTGGGCAGTTAAGAAGGAGGCTTTGATGAATTCAAGATTTGAATCAACCTCTGAAATAGGATCTGATTATGAACAAAGAGTGACTTGATTTTGAAAAAAAGTGGCTTGGTGATGAAATGCAGGGCTTGTTTGATGGTAGATACGATTGGCAGTGGAAGAGATTCGCTGGTGGCGGCGGTGGAGAACTCAGGTTGAACCGGAAGTTCTTGCAGATGTGCAACCTGGTTGGTAAAGAAGACATCCTTTAGGACTAACTGGGTGAAGGGTCATGTCATGGTAGTTTGTGGTGCATTTGGCAGTTCTTGGTTGTATTGTAGCCTAACAATTGGATATCATTGCAGCTATTCCATATTAATATCTTATAAGTATAAGAATAATAGGCATATCTTGTCTTCGTTTTTTTAAATAAATTATAGTGTTTATATAGTGTATATATATATATATATATATATATATATATATATATATATATATATATATATATATATATATGCTCTCTCACATACTTTAATACTAACATATTTCATTTGCACAAACATATTTTACTTAGCGTTAACATATTTTCACTAAAGTACCTAATTCCTAGCAACATTTCAACAGTAACACACTGCGTTCTTTAAGAATAATAATCAAAGAGCTTCTGCAACGCAGACAAAAGGTCGTTGTATAAGGTCTTTACATTGTCTTTGAATCAGCTGATTATGACTAGACATAAGCGTTCAAAATATTTTGGTCTCTATGCCTTGTTATGGTCAGCTAATCCTGCGCGGACAAATTCTTGTTTTTCTAAAGGTTGACAGCCCTGAATAAAGCACGTAAATTTATCTATTTGCTGAGGACGACCTACAAGGCATGCGTCAACGGAGTAATGTTATGGTAAAGCTAGAAAACTGTTGTTTATAATGGAAAGGGTATCAATTTTATGGATATTGTGATTTCAGGCACAACGATATGGGTGAAGCAGGTGAGAATGTAGCCAATTACACACACACACACACGCACACACACACACACACACACGTATATATATATATATATATATACACATATATATCTATATCTATCTATCTATCTATATATATATATATATATATTTATACAGATGCATATACATACACACATTGTAACTCATATACAAAAGAAGGCCTTTCAATGACACCTGAACCTCACATTTCATTAAAGTAAAAGATACGCCAATTTAAGATTCAATAACACAAGGTATGTGACAAGAATCCTCGAACTCCTGTTGTTTATAGAATGCTTTGCTTACAATTCTTTTGAATCACGGCGGTTTTACATACACTTAATAGCATCACTAAATGTATTTAGATGAAATGGATAAAATGTGATTACTTTACGGGACAAAAATGTGAATATTTGAAACGTCTTCGAAATATCCTGTGAACTGACGATTTTGACTGGGAAAGACCCAAGCTGCTCTTCGTGAGATGGAGAATGAGTGGTGGTCAAATAAGGCAATAGAAGTTCAAGGATCCGCAGACTCCAAGAACTCTCGCCAGCTCTTTTCAAGCTTGAAAGCAGTCTATGGGCCAGTCAAACCAACTCTGAATCCCTTGCTAGCAGTAGACAGAACAACCATCCTCAAAAAGAAGAAAGCCATCAATGACAGATGGTGACAGCACTTTGACAACCTGCTGAACAGACTCTCCAATGTCAACCCTGATGCACTCAACTCCATCCCCCAAAGCCCAATCATCGATGAACTTGACTTTCCTCCATCGCTGGAAGAGGTAGAGGAAAGCCATTAACCAAACTAGCACTGGAAAGGCATCTGGGATGGATGGAATACCCACAGAACTATACAAAGCAGCGGGCCTTGTATCAATTCAGGTTGCCTTCCATAGTCTTATTACTGACACCTAGGATCAAGAGGACCTGCCAAATGAATTCAGGGATGCCACCGTTGTGCCTCTGTACAAAAGCAAAGGCAGCAAAATGGAATGTGGTAATTATCGCGGCATATCTCTCCTGTCAATCGGTAGAAAAATCCTAGCCAGAGTGATCCTCAACCGACTCATCACACAGATATCCAAAAACACTTTGCCCGAAACAGTGTGGTTTTCGTCCAAACCGCAGCACCACAGATATGGTATTCACCATCCAGCAAGTACAGGAGAAATGTATCGAGCAGAACCTGGACTTCTATGCTGTGTTCATTGACCTTACCAAGGTCTTTGATACAGTCAACAGAGAAGCCCTCTGGGTGATCCTAGCTAGACTAGGTTGCCCAAGGAAATTCACCAACATGATCCGCCTCTTCCACGACGGTATGACCGGCACGGTTCTGTCTAGTGGAGAATATTAAGAGTCCCTCAATATCACAAATGGTGTGAAACAAGGCTGTGTATTGGCACCGGTCCTCTTCAACCTGTTTTTCTCCTCGGTGCTGAAACATGCCACCAAAAACAGTGACCGTGGCATCTACATAAAGTACCATCTTGACGGCTCACTGTTTCCTCTCAGGTGTCCGAATGCCAAGACCAAAACAAGAGAGAGTTTACTAGTTGAGGCTCTGTTTGTTGATGACTGTGCCCTCATGGTTCACACAGAGGAAGATCTACAGTTCATTGTGGATCAGTTTTCACAAGCGGCACGGCTCTTTGGCGTCACAATAAACTTGCCAAAAACAGAGGTCATGTACCAATCACCTAGAGCAACACCTCCAAACATCACCATCGAAGGCACCCAACTGAAGACTGTAGAGGACTTCAAATATCTTGGCAGTGTCATAAGCAACGATGGCTCTCTTGATAAGGAGATCAACTCCAGAATCTGCAAGGCCAGTCAAGCCCTTAGACGACTCAAAATCCGTGTCCTCTCCCAGCACAGCATCAAACTCTCGACTAAGCTCCAGATTTACCAAGCCATTGTCCTCACCAGCCTCCTTTATAGATGTGAGACCTGGACTCTGTATAGGCGCCACCTGAAACTACTAGAAAAATTCCACATCAAAGACCTCAAGTCAGTTCTAGGCATTCGATGGCAGGACAGAGTCTCAAACATACAGGTCCTGGAAAGAGCCAACTCTCCCAGCATTGAGGCTATGATCCTCAAGAGCCAACTTCGTTGGACTGGTCACATCATCCGCATGAATGAGAACCGCATCCCGAGGCAAATCCTTTTTGGAGCCACGGCCCAAGGCAGGAGAAAACAAGGGAGACCCAGAAAGAGATACAAGGACTGTGTGAAAGTCCACCTGTCACATGCAGGCTTAGCCCCCGAACATCTTGAAGAGGCAGCGCAGGATCGAGTGAAGTGGAGATCCTTGATTGGTCTTGCCAAAGACACATTTGAAATGATAGAACTGAACATCAGCTCGAACTTCGGGACAAAAGAAAGACTGCAGCCTTGGCTGCTGGTCCAGGACAATTTCTATGCCCCCACTGTGAACGAATTTGTCGTTCTCGCATAGGACTCCACAGCCATCTTCGAGTCCATAACCGATGAGTTGTACTATAGTGTTGACGTCATCATCGAAATCGACGGACTAAGATATATATATATATACACACACACACACACCTATCTATCTATCTAAATATATGACTATAGATATGAATATAAATATAAATACATATATATTTATAAATATATATATATATAATTCATCTATATATGTGTATATATAGATAAATATGTGCAGTCATGCTCATGTTGGGTTTTTGTTGGTTAAAGTGCTAATTGACAACAAATGGCACGCTCTCATCCTCTTGACCTCACATCTCATTACTGTGAGATAGCGCTTGAAGTCAAACATTATGAATATCGTTCATTTATTAAGTGTTTATTTATTTTTTTCTCGTGATTAGAGAATTATGTTGTTTCAATTGCAACAAATTTAGCGCGTTCGTGATTTTATTCCTTTCACGAACAATCACTCATTAACTTCCTTCTCTCACCATTTCCTGTTTTGACCTGACCACACGTGAAAGACATTAAGTCAGCCTGCCTAGACAGCTGGCAGCTCTGATCTCACTTGAGTGATTGACACAGTGTTATGGCTGAGGAAACTGCTTGCTATCTCCTTTTAATTGTTTCCACTAATTGTCACAATATAGGGATAACGCATAGCAACCGTTACATGTTCATTGGTGACACGTTTTATCGGCGCTGGAACGGAGCTTGTAACGCGACTCGTATGTTTGAATATAATGCCAAGAGATTATTCCTCATATCATAAGTGTCAGTATCTGAGTACTTGAGGTTGCATTTATGCGTAATGACTCGTGCGTTCCGATAAAATGATAGTAGGTCAGGTAACCGAAGTAATTCATACGCTTGGAAAACTTTGAGCCAGTGTGACCGCAATCATGTCCATTAATTTTGGACTAGGGTTTAAGTCTGATTTAGGATCCACTTAATTAATCACACCCCGCTCACACTTTTAAATGTCGCTGGCATGTTTGGGTTAATCCCATCGGTTTGTGATTCAAATCCCCGTAGGGCATTTCATGGGCGCCTATCATAAATCCGCAGATAGAGTGGGTTATTTGTAAATTTTCCCAGCTCGTTTAGCTTCATAAAGTACGGCATTTTTGGGTCCAGTCCCCACCCCCCCCGTCAGTGAAGACTGCATGCCCAGTTTAGACTTACTTGCCTCG